GGAGGAGGTTAGGGAAGACGGAGGGGAGGGGGGAGGGGGAGAGGAGGGAAGGTGATCGAAGATGGCGGGAGGGGAGAGGAAGGGGTTGATGAGCGTGGAAGAACTGATGGAGGAGCTGGGGGAAGAGGACGAGGAAGGGGTGAGGAGGAGGAGGAGGATAGAAGTGGCGTTCAGGGTGATCCGGAGGGTAGAGGCCCGCGCTCTGGATCTGTGCAGGGGAGCGAGAGAGGTCAGCATGATCGAGTGCGGGCTGGAGAGCATGGAGGAGTTCTGGCGGCTGGCGGAAGTGGAGCGGCTGTGCCTTCCTTCGAACAGGATCAAGGAGATTGGGGTCAAGGGGATGATGGGGAACCTTGTGGAGCTCTTCCTCCAGGACAACATGATAGTGCGACTGGACGGCATAGGATGCGCCCGGAGGCTGAGGAGGCTGTGGCTGACAAGCAACGAGCTCCAGGACATCAGCGAGGTCGGTCAGCTGTCGGACCTCCGGGAGCTCTGGATGCAGGACAACAACCTGTCGGAGGAGGAGCTGTGGGCTGTCAAGGACCTGGAGCACTTGTCCTGCCTTGACGTGACGGGGAACCCGATCAGCAGCATGCAGGCGCTCGTCCCCCTCACTCGCCTTCCTGCTCTTGTTGACCTCTCCTTCTCGGATGCTCACTTCCTGCCCTGCCCCATCAGCTCGAGGCCCGACTACAGGAAGGAGGTGGTGTTCCACTGCGAGCGCTTGACGTTCCTGGACGGGGTGGAGGTGAAGGAGGAGGAGAGGGCGAAGATCAATGACGAGATGCTCCAAGAGTCGTTGATGTTCGATGAGCGCATAAGAAGGATCAACAGCGAGTACGAGGGCAGGTACGACTCCATTGAGCTCGAGCAGGAGAAGGTAAGAGCAGGCTGCTGTTGGCGACGCTCCTCCCTGACGAGGTGGTGGAGGCTGTGGATCAGATGATAGCGATGGAAGAGATCATGAAGCAGACGATGACGAACGTGTTCAGTCAGATCGCACAGGCGAGACAGCAGGCTCATGCTGCTGCCCAAGAGGAGATTTCGAGGCTTCAGGTTGAGATGCTGCTGCATCGTTGCTGTCTGACGGTGTCCACAAGAGCAAGCATGACGATGTTCAGAAGAAGCTCGAGCAGGTGAGCAGAGGATGAGGAGAGGGAACGAAGGAGGGAAGGAGGTAGGAAGGGAGGGAGCGAGAGGGAGGGAGCGACGAAGGAAGGGAGGGAGGGAGGGAGCAAGGAAGGGAGGGAACGAGCGAGGGAGCGAGGGAGCGAGGGAGCGAGGGAGCGAGGGAGCGAGGGAGCGAGGGAGCGAGGGAGGAAACGAAGGAGCGAGGGAGCGAGGGAGCGAGGGAGCGAGGGAGCGAAGGAGCGGGGAGGCGAGGGAGCGAGGGAGCGAGGGAGCGAGGGAGCGAGGGAGCGAGGGAGGGGGGGGAGGAAGGGAGCGATTGATCTTTCTGGTTGTCTCAGAGGATGGATGCTGATGGATCGGGAGGTCTTGATTTCAAGGAATTCAACGCTGGCGTGTGAGAAATATCTCATTTCATTGATACATCCTGCTGCTGCTGCTGCTGCTGCTGCTGCTCCTCCTCCTCCTCCTCCTCCTCCTCCTCCTCCTCCTCCTCCTCCTCCTTATTCTGTTTCTAGGAAGCTGCTCAAGACCTCGTCACTCCCTCCTCTCCTCCTCCTTCTCTTTACTTGTTCCTCTTCTCTTTTCTTCTCTTTCTTCTTATCCTCCTTCAGCTTATTCTCTCTGCCCCCACCTGCATCTGATAAGTCCCCTCTCTCCTTCCCTGTCCCCTTCATGTTTACCCTTCTTTCTCCTCATTCCCTCTCCCCCCCCCTGGCCCCTCCAGCTGAAAACTCTCCAGATGTTGGACGAGGGAAAGAGCGCGGGGAGGAGGAGGGAGTGAAGTTTCAAGGTTCAATCAAGGGAAGATTAATAAAAGACATCCGAATCACATGCTATCAACAGAGAAATCATTGCGAGCATCACTAGCGCGGCCGAGTACGAGACCCTCTGACCCACCGACGACACGCCTCCGTCCCTCCTCAGGGTCGACATGTCCTGCCCGATCTGAATCTCCACCGTCTCAAATTTACAAATGTTGTTCCCCCCGCACACTCCACAGGCGTCCACGGACCGTCCTGAAGTCAAGATCAGCTGCGCTGCAAATGCCCCTGTCTTGTGCTCACGACTCCACTCCTCCTCTCCCTCCTGCTGTCCTTCTCTCTCCTTCTCCTCTCCGTGCTCTCCCTCTCCCTTTCCCTCCTCCTCCCTCGCAGATCTCTCCCTCCTCCCTCTTTTCACCTGAGTTGACCGCCCCGTCGCATCCTCTACATGAATCGCTTCCTCCCGCGCAGAAAGGATAGCAGAACTGGTCGTTGGGGTTTTGGAAGCATCGAGGGGTCGCCTGATCGCAGCAACCACACTCGTCCACCTTCAAAAAGGAAGAGCATCAGTATCGAAGTCAGCCAAGCTCATCCTCCTCCTCTTCCTCCTCCTCCCTCACATTGCGGTTGTTCCCGTCGCAAACGCCGCATCTGTCGTACTTCTTCCCGCTGTTGATCACCCCGTCGCACCCTGTGCACGACTTGCTGTCTCCACCGCAGACTCCGCAACTGACGCGATGTCATCAGTCCTGAGGAGTGAACGCAAGAGCACGAGAAAGAGGAGGAAGGAGATGAGGAGGAGGAGGAGGAGGAGGAGGAGGAGGAGGAGGAAGTTACCTGTCAAAGATTTTTCCTGAGTAGGCGATGCCGTCGCATCCTACGCATGTCTTGTTGTTTCCGCCGCAGATGCCGCACTGATCCATCGGGATGCACTTGCCCGATGCATCGCGTCCGCATCTTCCGCAGGACAGGCACGACCGGCTGCTGCAAGTGAGCTGGGGGCACGTGGACTGAACCTGTCCTCACCTGTCACCGCACCAGACTCCGCAAGCGTCGAAACCGTAGCAGGGCGTCACTTCCCACTGGAGAGGAGGGTCAGGACAGGATCGCCTTCCGGCCTCTTCAGGTCTCACCATCACTGGCACAGCCGAGCCGGCGGGCTGATACTGAGTGCGCAAGGTTGTGATGAAGGTGTTCTTCATCATGACATTTCGCAAGGCGGCTGGGAGGAGGGAGTGAGAGACGATCTCGGCAGGAGCAGATCGGGTCACCTTGGTTGTCCGTCAGGAGGCGAATGGAGATGTCGATCTTTCCGGACTCCGGGATAGACTTTGACTTCAGAGTACAGGTCTGGCAGTTTGTCATGGACCAGACTGCGTTCGTGTTGCCCTGGAGGCCTGCTGATGACGTCTGGATCTGTCCGATGGTCACGCTGGTTCCTCCGACGGTGACCGGGTTCCTGTTGGTACAATCCTGATAGCAGACGCTGACGATGACAACACGGTCCTGGTCACACATAAACACAAGCTCGTCAGAGCAGCTCAGCAAGTCATCGACGTGTTCTTACGTCGGTCAGGTAGAACTGGTTCGTGCTCGGATCAGTCCCAAGTGCGTTCTTGAAGGCTGTCTTGAAGACGGCATCCTGGAACGTGCCCACGTCTCCGCCCACCCTCACGATCGCAGTGACCATGTAAGTAAAGTCGTTGACTCGAGTCGCCCAGGTGGAGGCAGCGCTAGCGGGGCAGAAGAAGCGGTTCGAGCCCCCGCAGACTCCGCACTTGTCGTAGACTTGGCAGCTCTTCCATAGCTCGACCCTCTGCGTGTAGGCGTAGGGAGTCATCAGGTTGGTGGAGGACTGCAGCCGCTGCGACTGGAGGAATTGGCAGGGGACGAGAGAGCAACGTATCCTGTCGATGCAGGAAGTTCCGTTGCCGTCGCACACGCCGCAAACGTCGAACACCTACCAGTCACGGTCAGGTGCCCTCCAGCCCTTCCTCAGTCCTCACCTTGTACGAGTAGGCCAAACCATCGCAGCCTGCGCAGACTGACGCGTCCCCACTGCAGGAGCCGCAGGCATCTATTGTTTGACTCTGTGGTACAGTCAGAGACCGTGAGGCTATGTATGTTAGACTGCTCACTGCATCGCATTTCGGCTCAGCGCAGTTATTGTTTCCACCGCACACACCGCATCTGTCAAACTTCTTGGGCGAGTTGACTACCTCGTCACAGCTGACAAGTAGACAAGTCAGCTCAACGCGCTGAGGTTGGAGTCGCCGCACCCTTTCTTCATGCTGGCCGGCTCGACACACTTGCCGAAAGCGTCGAACTCTTTCCCGGAGAGAGGGATTCCATCGCAACCCAGACACTGCGAGAGAGGGTCAGAACACCGAGATGTTGTCTCGCTGCTGACCTTGGAGCCGTCTCCACCGCAGATGCCGCACATGTCATACTGTTTGCCAGAGCCTTCAACTCCGTCGCATCCTTCAGCACAAGTCAAGATCGTACGGGCTTGCTATGCATGTTCGGCTACCAAGTTTGCAGTACGGGCTTGTCAGTTTCGTGTAATCGCAGTTGCAGTTTTCGACTTGGACGCTACCGGCGGAACAGGTCTGAGCATGCAGCATGTCAGGACTAGCGTTGGGAGTTTGGGAGCTGAACCTTTTGGACTGGCGCAACTCTCGGAACATCGTCGGAGCCCATACAGCTCTGATTGTTTCCGCCGCAGACCATGCAGGTATCAAATTCCAAGACCGACCTCGGTATGCTGTCACATCCTGCAGCACCCGTTAGACCTACAATCGACAAGCAAAACTCGACAGCTACCGGCACACGATCTAGAGTTCCCTCCACACACTCCGCAGACGTCGTTGGTCTTTCCTCCCAGGCCGTAGCCGTTGTTCACAGCGCTGATCGAGGGCTGCCAAGGAAGGTCTGGACGAGGAATGCGGTCACAACCCGCGCACGATCTGTTCCAGTTGGGCGATGTGGGGCCCTGAACAGGTCTCAGGCTCGAGTGGTCACAGGCACAGAACCCTCACCTCGCTATGGCAGACAAGGTTGTTAGGGATGATCCTTTTTACAGGGCAGTTGACAAAGTTGGCAGGGCAATCAACTACAGGCGTGTTGCCTGCCATGGAAACATCACCGCCGGACACCTCTAGGTAAGTACAACAACTCGTGCTTACCTACGCATACTCCAGCATACATCCCACAGTAGTCCAGGTTCGCATTCATACCGTTGCACTGTCCGCAGCAGTCGACAACAGCACCGCTGCAAGACAGACACATCAAACGAGAAGAGCTGGAGTGTTTCTGCCTTCACCCGTTCGGCTGCCCACTGCCGACACAGTCGCAGATTCCTTCGCTCTGTACAGTCAACAGAGCCTTGTTGGCAGTTCTGTCCACGCAGAGTCCACATACGCTGACCTGCATCGACAGTGAGAAAGCTAAAGTGAAAGCGTCATGTTAATCTTCACTTCTTGCGTGCCAGGGCAAACGGTCCCTTGAAAGTTGCACTGCCCTGATGAAGCTCGAGTCGCCAGATGAGCTTGGAGTGTAGATCCAAAAGCAGCACCTGCACGGTTGATCATCAGACCCAGCAATGGCAGAGGAATCGATAATGTCACCAGTGTACTTCAAGCTCACTGTAGAGGAAGTCGTCTGGTCCACACAAACTTCACACTTGTTCTTGAACTTGGGT